TAACTAAAAAAATCCTCCAGGACCTGTCCTCGCCTGCCCCGCTACGCAAACTCCATAGTTTCCCTTTGCTCTCCCCATCTCCCCTTGAACACCCCAACCAGCTGTAGGAACTCACGTTTCAAACCAACTTCCCCACTCCCAATCACCCGTACCACGCTCTCCCTCCACCCACAAGGTTCCTCAAATCCCCTGTTATCCACGTTGGGTCACTAACATTCGATCTATTCAATTTGCATGGCACACTACATTCCTGTGCTCTGCTTAGAATATTCTCAAACAAGCCATATCTCGAATCCACATCAAAATCCCCCCCCTACGTCACCCATCGCCGGGCTCACGTCCCGCTCCAAGACTGGCCCACCCCCTCATGCCCAAGACTTTCCAATCCACCTGCCCCAAAAAACTTCCTAGGCTATTGAAATCAGCTCCTCCAGTTGTGCTGCCACCTGGTAGTGGCCAGCTATAACTAGGATGGGTTCAAAATAACTATTTGGATTGATTGTGAAATCAGACAATTGCAAATTTGTCTGACTCCACAAAAACAAGTTGTCTGTTTGCTACTCCATTTCTTTCTTCTCTGAAATTTGCAGTTGTCTGTTTTGCTTTGCTTACTTTCTGGATATTTCCTTGGTGAGGATGATCAATTCCCTGTGCCTCTGAAGGCATCAGGTTCTGGTCTCTTGGTAGGCTATTTAATTATGGTCTTTTTGGGGTCATGTGACTCAGATATGGAACTACCTCAGTGTGACTATGTTCCAGAAGTCACCATTGAGCCCCTCCAGAAAAACATCTTTTACGTTGGTATCATGCCAACATTTATATGAAAATAATTACAAAACAATAAAAGTGAACACTCTTGGAAAAAAACCAGCATTGAATGTAATGAAACGCTATTTTCTGGGTGAGCCCCGGAGGCTACCCGGAGCTTACCGGGCTGATATGTATGTATTAGACAGTGGCACCAGTCGTTTGGAGTTCTTGCTTACCAGGGACCATGAGCCAGAACCTGGCCCGCTCAGAAAAGCATGAGGAGCAATGGCCTATGGAAACCCCCATGTATTTGGAAGCATTCCATGTCTGCCGTCGACCGAGGTCTAGCACCCAGGTGCTAACAAAACAAACCCTCACCAGATAAAAATTGCTACCTAAAACTGAACAGTGAGGCAGAACTCCCAAACTAAAACAAGAAAACGTCACTAACGCCATCACGCCGATCATCCGTGCAGCCCACCCCCCATCCCTTGAGAGGGAGAGGGGGAGCCCGGGACCCCCCGCTACAGCATTCAGTTCCGAGGCTGAGCATAAAAAACAACGCCAAAAAATGCCGACCAGAGGGAGGGAGAGTGCCAGGGAGCTTACGCGGTTCACCCAGAAAATGGAATTTCATTACATTCAATGCTGGTTTTCTGCGAGGAGCCCATACTGCTCCCTGGAGCAGTATGGGCTCCAGCAGTATGGGCAGTATGGGCTGGTGCTTATCCAGTTCTCTCTTGAACACTGTGAGGGGTCTGCCAGGCCACTCCCTGGCCACAGAGTCCGTGGCGTGCAGGTAACAGCGAAGAGCCGCAACCGGACACAAGACATGATGCACCCCCTGCCTGATCAACCAAGCATCAATGATCCAAGGACTCCTCAGGAAAGCCGCCATCTTGTTCTTTGTCAGAAAAGAAGGAGACGGTTGCAAACGTACAAACCTACCACCGGGATTGAAAGAGCAGAAACCTCTACGTCGGAGGAGAGCATGAAGCTCCCCAACCTGACCCCCAGAAGTCAATGCCAACAGGAAAAATGCCTTGGAAAAACAATCCTGAACCGAAGGGGCCACCACAAACCAAGGCGCAGAAAGAAGAGAGAGCAACCGGTCCAAGGACCAGGACAGCAGAGGTAGTGCAGGTGAAACAAAGCACAAGAAAACTTCCAGAACAGCGCAGAAGTGACATCCACCCTGAATGCAAGCAAGAGCAGCTTTGCCAACGCTGCATGATATGAGGCGACAGTATAGGTATCAAAAGACGGTTCTAAAAAAGCCAAGAAAAGACAAACCAACCCAATCCGAAACAGAAGACAACCTACGAAGAGAAAATAGTGGAAAGAACGCCAGGAAACTTCATACTGTTGCAGAGATGAAGCCCTCAGCTGGGACACCATCAACGAAGCCACCTGATCACCATATAAGTGATGATCCAGGCGTCCACCACGACTGCTTCACAGTCGGGGAAGGGCGCCACATACATTGGGAGATGTCGGAACTACGCCAACATGAAGAGGTCCACCTACAGGGCCGCGTGAGAAAGACCAGACGTGAAGAGTAAAGGAGAAGATCAAACCAGCCACATATTGTACTGGTGCTATCTGCTCAAAGAGGCGAAGTCAAAGGAAACCTCACGGGTTTGGACACCGAGCAAGCAGCGCCTGAAACCAAGGCTGGGCCACCAAGGAGTCAACAGGACTACTCTCCCCTGGTTGATACCTGGTTGATGGGGTTCTGGGAGTTCTTCTACTCCCCAAGCCTGGCCTGAGGCCAGGCTTGACTTGTGAGAGTTTGGTCCACTGGGCTGTTGCTTGGAGTGGCCCGTAGGCCCACATACCCACCACAGCCCGGTTGGTCCGGCACTCCTTGGAGGAATAAATCTAGTTTCCTCTTGAAAATGTCCACAGTTGTTCCGGCAATATTTCTTATGCTTGCTGGGAGGGTGTTGAACAACCGTGGACCTCTGATGTTTATACAGTGTTCTATGATTGTGCCTATGGCACCCCTGCTCTTCACTGGTTTCCTGGTAAGTCTCCAACCAAGCCAGAACACGAAGCAACAGTAGGACCGGAGGCCACATACATTAGGAGATGTCGGGACCATGCCGACGCGAAGAGGTCCACCTATAGGCACTTGTACATCTGGAAAAGTCAATTAAAAGAGTCGGCATTGACCGTCCATTCCGTGGAGAGGGAAATGAATCGAGATAGGCCATCCGCCAGGACTTTGGACACCCCCCAGACATGAATTACACGGAGAGCCAAACCCCGAGAATCCAGCAGACGAGTCACTCAAAGAGACCAGCCCCAAAGAGCCAAGGATCACAACGAACCTCCTTGGTTCAGGCAATGAACCACCGGGGTGCAGTCCAAATGGAGCCAGATCATCAATCCGCGAGCTACTCGAATCCTCCAAAGCTACAGCCACACCGCCGCAAACTCCTGCACCGTGCTGTGAGCCTGACGAAACGGCGGACCCTACCGACCCTGGGTGGCCTGGTGAGCACTGGTCACAAAACCCAGCCAAGAGGTGACGCATCTGTGAACACATTGAGTGAGGGCTCGAATAGGCATCACCACACTGAACCCAGAAAAACCTGAAGAGGAAGCTGGCGACAACCATCGAGTGACCTGGGAGCCCCCAGAAACAGCCGAAAGTGGGACCACAGCCTCAATAACGACTCCAGAGGGGAGTCGTTACTGAGGTGTTACGTAATGACAAGGAAGAGGTCCGAGAGTCCCACACAAACCCAGCCAAGTGCGAACCTGAGAGGGAACCAGATGGGACTTCCTCCAGTTCACCAAAAACCCGAACCCGGCAAGCTGGGAAAGAACCAACACCCTGGCGAACAGACATGTGGAACAGCTGGGAGCCCACACCAGTGGGCTCCCAGCCCACTGGTTTGGGCTGGGAGATCTTACAGCAGTTGTCGAGGTAGGCCAGAACCTGAACTCCTAGCAGACACAAGTGGCTCATCACAACCCAGGTAAGCCGTGTGAAAGCGCAAGGTGTCAGATTCAAGCCGAATGGAAGGCAACGAAAGCGGTAAGCTTGTCACCCCACAACAAAACCAAATCAGTCCCTGAACCCCAGATGAATCAGGACATGCCAATATGTGTCCCAGAGGTCCAGAGACACCATCCAAGCATCCGGCTCCAAGAGAAGCTGGACCTGGGACAGAGTAGTCATCCGAAAAGAGGGGCCAAAGATCCAGGGGTTCAGACAGGACAAGTCCTGAATGAACCTTAGATCCGCACAGTCCCATTTCAGGTCTGGAAACAGGCTGGAAATCCACCAGAGAGATGTGGTTGTTTCGACCACGCCCAAGTGCACCCACTCCAAGATGACCCGACAAAGCACAGGGGATGAGGCCTGCCTCGCCAGCCCCGAACCCCCGAAGAAGGAGCCACCCAACGCCACCACAGGCCAAAAGAGACGACCCGAAATGGCCATGAATCGTGAGACCAGGCGTGAGCAAACAGCCTTTTCCCCATCCCCCCATCAACTGGGAGACCTACGAAACCAGCCAGCAGAGTGACCAATGCGCCAACCAGATGCCGCTGGCTCTGAAACTGGCACCACTGGCCTACCACGATTAAAGGAATCCTGAACCCTGGCATGACCCATCCAGGATGGCCCACCACAGCAACCCTGGAGAACCAACAAGTCCAACATGGGATTACAACTAGACGAAGCTGCCTACAGAAACTGTGTGACAGCAGACTCTGCAAACAGCAATGTACCAAAGAGTGCCGAAACCTAAGAGCAAGTGCCCAAGCTGATTCCAAGAAGAGAGCAAGCACAGTCTGCAGACAATCGGCACAATGGCGTTAGTGATGTTTGCTTGTTTTAGTTTGAGAGTTCTGCCTCTCAGTTAAGTTTTAGGTAGCAATTTTTACCATATGGGGTTTGTTTTGTTACATCTACCTTTCTGGGTGCTAGATCCTGATCAATGGCAGACATGGAATGCTTTCAAATACATGTGGGTTTCCATAGGCTATTGCTCCTCATGCCTCTCTGAAGGGGCCAGGTTCTGGCTCGTGGTTCCCAGTAGGCAAGAATTCCAATAGACTGATGCCATGGTCTAATACACACTTATCACCCTGGTAAGCTCTGGGGAGCCGTATGGGCTCCCCACAGAAAAAAAAAAATGATGTACAGCCAGAAGACTGGTGGATGAGTAAATGAAAATGTTTACTTTGAGAATACTTAGATGACTACAATAGAAAGGCTGCTAATAAATACATACCAACAGACAGAATGTTAGCTGAGCCAGGAAGCACTGGTTGTGAGGGTGACATGTTAGGCCTCTTTACAGCCTAGTGGCTATGGATGAAGCTTCTGACAACAGTAAATGGGATCATCTGCTTTCCATTCTTGGCCTGAGTAGAGACCTTATAGGCGATGGTGACGATGCTTGTAGACTGAGCTCAAGCACTGCTCTGTGCATCATGGCACCCTTTATAGTGTACCTAGTTTGCCAACCTCAGGAAGGTGCAAACAGGCATGGATAAAGCACTCTCTCAAAGCTTTGGAAGAGAGGATTTGATTTTGAGAGCTTAGATTACATTCAGCATTTGAGACCTAAACTACTTTCCTCACAGTATATAAGATCTGTTACCACAAGTACACTAACTAAACACCCTTTCACAGTATTTAATTAGGTTGTCACTTCTTGAGATCTGTATAGCTTCTCCACTGCCCCCATCAGTGCTTGTAACATTGTTTTGCAAGAAATTTAGTCATGATGGCCACCACGACTTATTAAATAACTTCATCACATGTTACCACCGCCCCTTCAATGTCCAACATCCACAATAGTGACACATGGCAATAGTGACATCTCATCACACATTGTTATGGGCATATCAGTAAAGTTAGCAGATGCTGTCACTAATAGCATGCTACATCACATCCTCATTGAGATCCCTATTCACTAAAATGTTTTCTTGGGCTAGCAGTATGTAGTAGCAGGTTCTACTTGTTGTAAATTTGTCTGGTCAATGAGATAATCACATTTTAGTTAAATGTTCTTTCTGCCTGGAATCAGGATATTCATAGAATATGATTAATAAAGTCACTATACTTTTGTCAGTTAAGAATCTGCGCCATACTGTTTTCTCAAAACATTCTTACATTTTCAAGTCACAGAACCCAGGAAGTGTCAAGATAATATCTATTCTTGGAATATATATATTTATATATATATAAAGCTAATCATAATTCACACATCACTTTAGATTTAACTGTTAGCACTGTATGACTATGTACACAAATTTCTTCACTGCACATAAAGCTTGAGGTCGAGTATGTAATAATAATGCTATAATATAAGCATGTAACTTCATTCTACCTCCACACAAACTATAGCTATCAAAAAACTCATGTTTATGATTTAATAATTTACCCGCACTGTGAGTACTGAAGATATACTATGTATTTCTGTTGTGAATACATGTTGATTCTCAACATTACAAAGATTTCTTGAAATAGGTCATCTGCACACTTATCAGTTTGTAAATATCCTTCATTTTCTATATTACATGCCATCACAATCTCGCGAGCACCTACACTTGCGTATGATATCGACGTCTTTTGCGTATTTTGTTCCATCATTACAAATCATTGCTACCCGTTTCTTGTGGTATCGTTTAGGTTGGCAACAGTCTTTTCCACAGTTCCCATTACAGGTAAACTGCTTTATAGGATACCGTGAACGGCAGCCATAATCAAATACATATGCCTTTTCTCTTTCTCTCCGACAAGATGGAGCTGGAATAAGAAGATTTTTAGTAATTTGCAGATAAGTTTTTTATGTATGGTACAATACTAATCATAATTTTTATAAAACTAAAAATTCATCAGTAAAGGTGGCTGCCATTTATTTCTGACTCTAAATCCATATGTCAGGAATTAACAAAATAAAATACAATACATTATATATGTTCAAGTATATTTTTTTACTGAAGAATATACTGTATTACTATTATTACTGCATTAAATAGAGTAGAATGACATATCATACTTACGCTGGTTGCAGAATTTGCCACTCCAGCCCCTTTTACACCGACATCGGTAACCACTACTTCGCCGGCGTGGCCGACATCTGCCATTTTCACATTGATTGGCTATACAAGCATTATTGTCTGCAAATACAGGAATTTAATTTTAACATGGTTACTAAAACATACCAATATTTAATGAATTAGTGTAAAATGGAAGAAAATAAGGTTATAATAATTAATAATAATAATAATGATAATAATAATACCAGTGCTCATAATAATTACCAGTGTCAATAACAGGAACCTTGTACTCAAACTTGTATCAAGATTCCTCCTAGGTCAAATTATTGACCTTTCCCAAGATGAACCCCATAATCAGCTGCCTAGCTCCTGGGAACCTATTTACTACTAGTTGAACAGAGGCATCAGGTGAAAACAATGTCCAACCATTTCTGTCCTGCCTGGGGATCACACCTGGGATTCTTAATTGAATTGTGAGTTGAGAATGTAGACCACTATACTACAGAATAGGCCAACAAAATTTCTCCTTTTAACCACCATGCTGCGCGGCCTGAAAATATTACATTCCCGCTGAGCGACAAAAATAGATTCTTTAAAAAAAAAAATTTCTCTTCTAATATTGTTAAAATGCAGTCTCTGATCACAGGAAACTATAATAAAATATTGTATGTGACATACTGTAGCCATGATGGAGCTGAGAAGTTGAGCAAATTATGGGCGCTGAGCGATGGAGTGCTTGGAGTCATTCAAGCCCGCCACCCTGTGGGGCGGCAGTTGCCGCAAACATAATTTTTCACAATTATTTTTAAGTTTCTCATTCGTTTCTTCTCTGAATTTTTGCTGTAATATTATTCAAAAGTGTGTAAATTGTGATATTTATGAAATTCAATGTGTGAAACATCGCTATGCTCAAAATTATGGGGCTCATATGTGACATGTATACATTATATTCTATGATCAATCAAACAGTGTTTTTGCTGTTATACTATATACACACACATTGTATATACCTATCTACATAAATGTTCACCATAACGAACTATTAAGTTGGTATGGTGAGTTAAAAAACAAGAGTCGCTGCGACACAGCAGCTAGCAGATGCCACCTCCCTCCCTCCAACACCTCACTCACCAACATTCCTCCTTCCACCATACTGTTATTGATTTTATTACTTACATACAACGTGTATGTAAACAGTGTACCTATATGTTTTGTTCACCATAACTGTACAACTAGGCTGGTATGGCATCCAAACAGCATAGTGGCCACAAAAAACTGCATGACAAGTGACACAGCAGCTAGCAGATGACAGCCTCATTCACTTCCTCACCAACACCTCCCTCACAAAATGGCTCCTACCAACATACTCTTTTTGCTGTTTTTACACTATATACACACACACGTTATTCATAAGTACTGTAACGGCAAAGAGTCGCAACCAGACACAAAACGTGATGCACCCCTGGCCGAAACAACCAAGCGTCAACAACCTAAGGACCCTTTCAGAAACCAGCAGTCTCATTCTTCGTGGCTGCAAACCACCAGCCAGCTAATGCTACCTCTCTCCCTCAGCAAGATTCCTTCTCCCACCATACTACGCACATCGCTAATTATCACCACAATCCTGCTATTATCAGAATCCTGGTTACTAAATCCTGTAAATGAATAATTTTCCACAAGTTCATTTTGTAAAGGAACATGAGAAATCGTTTCAAGATTCTTAGATGGACCAAACAATGTAAGTGTGCTGTGGCTAGTGCTGTGAACATCTTGAGCAGCATTGTGTTCACTGATATCTGAACATTGTACACAGCCTTTATCACAGTCAGGCTCTTCTATCATACTATCATGGCTAAATAATACCAGATACATGCATATTTTGACATTTTTAGGCGATGCTGTGGTCACAAACTGAATAGCAGTGCTGTTAGCTCATGCTGCCATGCCAGCCTTGGTTGCTCACTCAGTACTGAGGCTCTCACACCTGGTAATGTTGCCCACGATTTTTTTTTAAATGACGTCCGTTTACTAGTCCTGAGGAAGCTGATGAAGCTGCAGGAGTTTTGAATCTTACGCTATACCTATGAGCACCCTGAGGCGCTCTGTGCACCCCCGATCTAGCACCTCCAGGCGCTCTGCACAGTGTAGTGGTTAAGTAGAAGAATTTTTCTGGGGGGAGTCCCTACGGCTCCCCAGAGCTTACCCGGCTGATGTGCTAATGTCAGACTTTTGCATCAGTCATGTGTACAGAGTTCTTATGGGCCTACCGGGGACCACGAGCCAGAACCTGGCCCCCTCAGAGAGGCAAGGGGAGCAATGGCCTATAGAAACCCCCGTGTGGTTGGAAGCATTCTATGTCTGCCATCGACCAGGTTAGGCACCCAGAAAGGTAGGTGTCCCAAAACAAACCCCTATTCTGGTGAAAATTGCAACCAAACGCTGAACTAGTGGATAGAACTCCCCAAACAAAAACGAGCAAACTAGTATGACGTCATTCGTCGTCGCGCCGCTGTCTGTGCAGCCCCCCCCCCCTCCACGGGAGGGGGAAGGGGGAGCCCCAGACCAACCGCGCCGGCGATCCACACTTCAGTTCTTCAGCTGATGCTAAGGACATCAGAAGAGTACTGAAGAACAAGCAGAGAACACCTCTCGCAAGACTCCGGGACAAGGTGCCAATGGCCCAACAGGCAGCATGACGGAGGTAAAAGTGGCAACTGTCACCCTGAGACAAGGGCACAGCAACCAACAAGCCCGCACAAGATGGGATGGAACCCGGAAGACGCAACCAATGGTCCACCGAGCCCCGACAGGGTTTTCCAGGGCCCGTAGACTGACTGCTATGGGAAGCCTGGGCAAGATTTTGCTAACCGGTTAACACCCAAGCTAACAAGGGGGGATGCAACACTGAAACCCCCTGCGATGTGTACAATCACGGGAGCCTAGCAGAGGGCCACCAAACACTACCAGTGGAACTATAGCCACACTAGGCAGACCCCACCAGGCAAAGAAAATAAAAACAAAAGAAAAACCCCGCAAAAGTACACCATCCCCAGAGGCAACAGGAACCGGTCGCCGCTTAGGTGGCAGGTCGCGCAACACTTTGACGCCCTAACCAGCACAATACCAGTCCCTACCCAAGGCTAAACAAGGGCCCCAAGCCCCAGCTGGCCCCAAGGATGAGGCAAATGCCAAGCAGCAAGAACCTCTATGGGAATGGTTCCCAAACGCCCCAGGGAAGATAACTCTGTCACGCAGGGGCAATACTCACAGGGCGCTTAAGGAAGGACACCCCTAAGCGCATGCAGCCCTGATACTGATGAGGAACACCTAGCCACCGCACAACACAACACACGGCAGTGAACGCCACGAAGGCAAACACCGTCTAGGAAACTGAGGCCAGAGAAGCGTCTGTCCCGATTGACATTAGCTTTTGAACTGATGTATTAGGCAGCCGGCACGGTGAGGTCCGGGCCCCCCCACTCCCCCTCTCAGGGAGGGGAGGGCTGTGTGGATGAGTGGTGCAGCAGTAAAGTGTGATGTTGGCTTGTTTGCTTGTTTCCTTTGGATTGTAGGGAGTTTCTACCTCTCTGTTTGTTTTTTTTTGTTTTAGTTTTTACCATGTAGGGTTTGTTTTGTTATGCCTACCTTTCTGGGTGCCTAACCCCAGTCGATGGCAGATAAGGAAAACCACCAACCACAATGGGGGTTTTCCAGGGGCCATTACTCCCCGAAACCTCTCTGAAGGGGCCGGGGTAAGTTCTGGCGCTGGTCCTTGGTAAGTCTGAACTCCATAGCTAATGAGTCTGAACTCCATAGCTAATGTCCTGGTATAATATAACATACATCAGCCCAATAAGCTCCAGGGAGCTGAAGGGGTTCCCCTCCGAGAAGCATTTTTTTTCCTTCACGGACGTGACATCTATATATTATGTATATAAAAACTTGCTCAGATGCGAATGGAACGTTGCGTGAAATTTTCAAAGCAATCGGTGAAGAACTTTTGGAGATTAGCAATTTTGAACAAACGAACATTTACATTTTTATTTATATAGATTTACAAGCATGAAAACTTTCCAATCAACTGTTGTTATTGTTATAATCAGCCTCCTGGTGCTTTGGAGCTCATTAACTGTTTAATAATTGTAAACAAAGCAGCCAAAGAATGACAAAAGATGTACAGGTACATAAGTGCTTGCATAACTGCTTCATGAATCTGGCTCCAGGGCTGCAATTGACTAGCATTAAGTTATTCTTTCTTGTCTATGGCATAAAACACCTTCTTTCATCACCTATTTGGTGGGTTTTGGTAGCCAACACTGCTGCTCTTACACCTGGCACATTCATTAGTTTATTAATGGCCTTAGTATCCAGTTCCCTTGCATTTGGAAGACTTGCCTCATTTCTCTATTGGTTGGGTTGTGATGGATTCCTTACTTAATTTAGAGTCAGATTTTGCCGCTTGCCACTTTCTAAGATGTATTTTGGTGTTTTTGGACACTGGGTCTTTCTGTACCCCTAACCTTTCCACTTTGGATTCAGAGGTTCTTCATCCTTGGGTGTGCAATGTGATTCATTGCTGACTTGCACTTTTAGCCTCCTGAATGTTATATTTATGGCAAGTATCCCAGGTAGCTGTCAGCGTCTTCCCTTATGGCAGCAGTTGTACCTCTGTCTTAGTGACGTCAGCTGTAGGCCTACACCCTTGTAGTATCAGTTGTACGTCATTGCCCCCATGTGTTATAGGTAGTTTTGCACTTTGTTTACATTGTTCCTATGGTCCAGGGTATGTCATTTACTGGCTTTGGCCTGGTTGCCTGTCCAGCAACTCTTGCTGCATCAAAAAGTGCAAAAATTAAGAAATCTAAGATAATTTTGATGTTGCAAACAAAATCAAATAGCAAGCTGAAGAATGGTGAATACACTGCATCTCTCTGCTGCAATTGCAAGATTACCAGGTCTAGTATTTGTACCATTAACAAGAATGCAAATTGGAAATGTGGGCTGATGTGCAGAATCAGCTGATTATACTGAATTTTAATGTGATCTCTGCTAAGGCCTTCAAGATATGTGAAGCCCTAGTCCAAGGTGATTTTACATCAACAAAAGAAACTTTCAAGGCAAGTAAGGGCTGATTCTACAATTTTGTTAAATGCCAAGAGCTTTGTAATGTTAAGATTGCTGGTGAGGCTGCAAAAGCCAACAGCAGCAGCCAGTCAGGTACACTGATGAGCTTAAGACTGGTATTGAAGTTAGTGGTTAGATGCCACAGCAAGTGTTTAATGCTTAACAAAATCGGCTGAGAAAGAAAGTGCATTGCCAAGAACAACAAATACTTCCAAGCAGTAGAAACATACACCAGGATACAGTGCAGCAAAAGATTAGAGTAACTATTATAGGAGTGCTGGGATGAATTCTAGTTGTATGCATTTATTGATATATTATTAATCCAAGCATTTTTAAAAGGTCTTAGTCATGGTTTTTTCTCATTACCTGTGGTTGTATCTCAAGTCACCATGTTTTGTCTGGCATTCATGGAACATTTTATTCTTCCTCTGGCTGTACAGCTAATGTGTACTTTTGCCCCCTGTGGGGCTGTAAACAGGGTAGACCAGGCGTCACTTCCTATTACGGTGAGTTCCCACTCTGGGGTTACCCATGGACACCCCAGGAGGGGTTCATCTTTCTGCCTTCACCCAGGTGGGGGCTAACTTATTTCTGACCTTTGCCCTGTCCATTCTTTTCAATTTTGTTGGCAATTTTCCCCCTTGCCCTTTTGGTTGGGGCTCTGTCTTTGCAGTTGGGCTCTGTCTAACTTTTTGAGCTTGTGGTGCACTTTGTCCCTTGCCCTTTTTGTCCAAACATGCCTATAACTTCCTGGAAGCATGCAGGCTTTTTCTTATTCTGCTGTAATGCTGCTGGGGTCCGTCTGGTAGGGGATTTTGGCCTTATGTTTGCCACTGTCTCGTGTGATGTTTCTGGGCGTTAAATCTCATTTTTGTGTGTTGCTGTCTTGTTTTGCTTGTTGGGGTCTGTTTTTTCTGTTGGGTCTGCAGTCAAAGCCCTCCATGGGGGTTCTGTACCTTTTAATTTCATGTATTAATACTTTTTCTTTCAAATCCATTCTGTCTCCCCTTCAGTGTTTTACACCTCAAGTAAGTTGTCTTTAATTTGGTTCTTTTTTGTCTCTGTGAGGTAGTTGGGTTGGAGAGCAACTAAGGAGACCTTTACCAGAATAAGGATATTAAGAAAACTGAAATGTTCCTTTCTGGGCAGCCAGTTGGTTGCCCCTATTCCTGCCCTTTTCCTCCTGGCTTTCCCATGAATGCTTGGGTGTTCTTAAAATTCAAGTGAGGGCTGCTGTTTTCCTCGACACTGTATTATTATTTTCACTATTTTCCTCGACTACCTTGTTTCCTCGGTAGTAATTCAGAATAAAACTTGATACTCTAATTCTTTGTTTTATTGATATCCAAATGATCTGCCCTTATGTTCAAGCTATCCCTCCTTATAGGTTACATTGGATAGTTACACAAAGTCATTTAAAAATATCTATCTCCAATGCTTTAATAGTCACAAACAAAGCAGCCAAGTAGGTATTGTATGGTACAGTTAATATATATACAAGAGTTCTTACATTCTTATAAAGCCACTAGCACGCATAGCATATCAGGCAAAGCCTTAATCCTAATTTTTCCCAAGAATACGACCCACCAAATCATTTAACAACCAGGTACCCATTCGATGCTGGGTGAGAACAGTGAATGTCGGGGAATCTACCAAAAATACCTGATTTACACACATTTCCCCACTAACAAAATATGGTATTGCAAGGGAAAACAAGAGGTGAAAGAGGCAAAAAGCATTAAATAATCAGAAACTTCAATTAAGTTTGAGACTGTAATGGAGACAAGAATTATCAGAAAAAAGGTCTCATACTCCGAGGAAGGTCATTTAACCAAGTGTAATCAAAAGCAAAAACTTTACTTCATAAAATTAATATAAGTTTTGATTCAAGGTGGCATCTGAAGAAGTAACCCTGACATTAACATACAGTATGTCTGTGATGATGTAAATGTGATTTCTTCTCATTTATAATTTCTTTGATTTCTGGGCATTACAAATACTGTACTATGGCACTGTGTTACCTTTGTTACAGAACTTGCCACTCCATCCTTTCTTGCACCTACACCGATAACCATCACTATGTTGACGAGGACGGCACTGACCATTTTCACACTGGTGTTCAGCACAAGCATCATTTTCTCCTAAGCAAAAAAAAAACTCAGTTATTAAAAAACTGCAAATAGTGCTCTGCTTTATTCTGGAATATCACCGACTTCTTTCTGGTCATCATTAATTAAAACACCAATACTGATAGCTTTAACCTGCAGTAGTCTTGTATTACCCCAAACGTTTTTGCACATATTATCTATGTTAATGATATAACAATAAAATCCTTATTGTAATTAAATGAACATATTTATTATTTTTAAGATTATTGCAAGTTTTTCCAAATTTATATGCATAGCTCATATTTAATTATGAACTACATATAGAACTTAGCCACTATATTTTTTAACATTATTATTATTAATTACAGTATTATTATTATTATTATTATTATTGTTATTATTATTATTATTATTATTTTTGCTTCCAATAAATGCAGAGAATATGCATGCACTGTACAGAACTTATTATCTAATAACTAAAGAAAATATTACAAGGTCATGTTATAACCTTAGGAAATTATTTGTTGATTAAGTATATGATTTGAAAATACTGAATGCAGCATAAAAGTTCCATAAATATATGTATATAAAAAAAGTCAAAATGGTCTTATTACCATCATAAGTAATTAGGTGGACTGTTTTTCCCATACACATTTAAATATATTCTGGATAATGAAATAATATTTACAACGTGAATGACTTAAGTTGGTTAAAATCAGCTTAACTGATGACACACACTGATCTTACTACTGTATTTCTTTATCTAAAGAATATAGCTTTAGAATATATGTTTCACTGTAATCATTTTTTTTTATTTATATATATACAGGAGTTCTTGCATTCTTGTACAGCCACTAGTACGCATAGCATTTCAGGCAGGTCCTTAATCTTATATTCCCTGGAATACGACCCCGCGAAAAATCGTTTAACAACCAAGTATCCATTTTACTGTTGAGTTAAACAGGCTACAGTTAAGGATTTGTGCCCAGTAAATCCTCCCCGGCCAGGATACGAACCCAGGACAAAGTGCTCCTGAAAAGCCAGGTGATCGTCTTAACCACTACACCACAGGGACTGTACTGGTTAATGGGAGTGAATTAATGTAGTGGGACTCAATCTCCAATGAAGGCTTGCTTTAAAAGTTATATTTGTTAATTTCAAGTTTTATAGTAGGCTGAAATGTTATCTTTCAATACATTTTAATGTATTAACAATACTGAGTTATACTTTTAGGCTCTCCATTAGGTTGCTTACCATTTAACTACAGTATAAAGTTTCCATAAATATTGTTTTAAACCCAGTTCTGCATCATTTCACTAATGGTACTAATCTGTTAAATCTCTTTCTCAAACATTACTTTGATTATTATATAAACTTTTAAAAGGGTAATAAGCAAAGCTAAAACTGTTTTCAACTATTATAGTTCTGCTGTCATGGGTTTTAACAATCTTACAAACTCATAATTATGCTACCATGGATATTTATACAAGGCTTGACACTTCCTTTGCAACAAACCACTGGAGCTTCTGACTCTAAACTCTTGTTTTCACTTCCCTCTGGGACACCATTATAGGATGTGTAAACTTTTATTTATCAGGACTCTCTTTGCTATTCCCAAAATTGGGCATAAGTCTCCCAGGTGACTACAGTCTCTCTATGTGCCAATGAGGTTAAGTGTAAGCAAGATCAGATCAAAAGGCCAAGATTTAAGACCACCCAAGCAAGCTCAGGTAAAAGGGAACAAAAAACCAGCGTTGAATGTAATGAAATGCCACTTTCTGGGCGAGTCCCAGAGGCTTTCCAGAGTTATCCAGGCTGATATGATTAACCCTAACTTTGGCATCAGTCAATGTGGGTGAAGTTCTAGGTTTACCAGGGACCAGGAACCAGAACCTGGCCACCCACAGAGAGGCATGAGGAGCAATGGCCTATAGAAATGCACATATGATTTGGAGCATTCTATATCTGCCATCAACCGCGACAGGCACCCAGAAAGGAAGCGCCTCAAAACAAACCCCTATTCTGGTTAAAAACAACGAAAATAGACAAACGAGTGGACAGAACTCCCCAAATGAAAACGAGCAAACAAGCATGACATCACACGAGCCGCGCCACATGTTCTATGCAGCTCCCCCCTCCCCAGGAGGGGGAAGGGGGAGCCCCAGACCCCCACACCGGCAATCCACACCCCAGATCTGCGGCTGGATGTCAAAATTCGCGAAAACTGCCAACCGGAGGGAGGGAGGGAGGGTTGAAAGGGAGCCTCCAGGACTCACCCAGAAAACGGCGTTTCATTACATTCAACGCTGGTTTTCTGGGGGAAGCCCTTCGGCTCCCCGGAGCTACTTCACCAAAGACAAAAATGAAAGGGGGACTTACCCGGGAGACAGTCGGTGCTCACATCTCAACTCGAACCCAAGACAACAGGCCGCAACAGCCAACCCAAAGCGACACAGGCCTGACTAGGCCCAGGAACATTAACAAGGTAGCGTGCAGCCAGAACCCTGTTCAACCGCCAAAAACCTTGTGCCCGAATGTCAGCCCAGGACATACTGTATTACCAAAGATGGCAGCAAGCGCAGCAAACTTATGAACGTCATGCCACGGGTAGAGACCGTAGGCTGGCCAGATTTAATAACCCTGTGGTCGTATGACCTGAGAGACCTGCACCCGAGAACAGGGAAGAAGGGAAACTGGATCAACCCAAAGCGCCTCCCCGAATACAGAAGTCGTGACGCACAAATAATGGCGGAGGGCCGCAACCGGACACACCAACACACGATGCACCCCTGGCCGGACCAATCTTGAGGTTATCTTGAGTTGATTTCGTTTTTTTTTAGTGTCCCCGTAGCCCGGTCCTAGACCAGGCCTCCACCCTCAGGAAGCAGCCCGTGACAGCTGACTAACTCCCAGGTACCTATTTACTGCTAGGTAACAGGGTTATAGGGTGAAAGAAACTCTACCAATTGTTTCTCACTGGCGCCCGGGATCGAACCCAGGACCACAGGATCCTGCAAGCCGAATTTCCAGGGACACATTCTAAATATATAAAAAAAAACAGCGTTGAATGTAATGAAACGCCATTTTCTGGGTGAGCCCCGGAGGCTCCCTGGAAACCCTCCCTCCCACCGGTCGGCGGTTTTTTCGCGTTGGTTGAAGCTTAGCTTCCGAACTGGAGCTTGGCAGCCGGCGCGGTAGGTCCGGGGCTCCCCCCTCCCCCTCCCGGGGTGGGGAGGGCTGCGCGGACGATCGGCGCGGCAGTAAAGTGTGATGTTTGCTTGTTTGCTTGTTTCCTTGGGATTGTAGGGAGTTTTCTACCTCTCTGTTCGGTTTTTGTTGTAGTTTCTTACCATGTGGGGTTTGTTTTGTTACGCCTACCTTTCTGGGTGCCTAACCCCGGTCGATGGCAGATAAGGAAAACCCCCAACCATATGGGGTTTTCCAGGGCCATTGCTCCCTGAAACCTCTCTGAAGGGGCCAGGTTCTGGCGCTGGTCCCTGGTAGGTCTGAACTCCTTAGCTAATGTCCCGGTCTAACATAACATACATTAGCCCGATAAGCTCCAGGGAGCCGTAGGGGCTCCCCACAGAAAAGTTTAAAAAACTGTTGGCATTCTTTCTAAGATCAGATATTATGTACCTCGCCCTGCCCTGGTGACACTATTATTCTCTCATCTATCCGTATCTCAACTATGGTATTTGTGCTTGGGGTTCTACTACCCAAAATCATTTACGTCCTCTAATTACTCAACACAAAGCTGCTATTAGGACAATATCTAACTCTGGCCCCAGACATCACTCGGTATCCTTACTCAAATCTCTGAATATGTTAGATATTAAGTCCCTGCACATCCTCTCATGTGTATTTTATATATATAAAACGCTGAACTGTAATGTCAATCCTGACCTTAAAAGCTTCCTAGAAGGTTGTAACAGATCCCATGAGCACCACACCAGAAACAAATACCTATTTGATATTCCAAGAGTACGACTTAGTCAAACTAGAAATGCATTACAAATCAAGGGACCTCGAAAGTGGAATGACCTTCCTAATTATATTAAAGACTATACCTCTCCCAACCAGTTTAAGATAAAAACTAAGTACTAGAAGCCGGACCTGGGACAGAGTGGTCATCCAAAAGGAGGGGCAAGAAATCCAGGGGTTCAGACGGGACAAGTCCAGAATGAACCGCAGATCCGCACAGTCCTGTTTCTGAACTGGAAACAGGTGGGAAAACCCCCTAAGAGACGACGTCGTTTAGACCACACCCAAGCACACCCACTCTGAGATGACCTGACAAAGCGCAGGAGAAGTGGCCTGCCCTGCCAGCCCCAAACCCCCCAAAGGAAGAGAAGCCACCCAACGCCACTGCAGGCTGCAAAAAATGACCCGTAACGCCCACAAAACGTGAGACCAGGTATGAGCAAACAGAGCAAGCCTCTGCCCCATTGCCCCATCAATGGGGTGAACCACGAAAGGGCCGATGCCCCTTATGAGAACCCGACCTGCGCACAGAGCAAGTACGGTGCCGACCAGATACAGATGGTTCCGAAGGCGGCACCTGCTCCGAAACTGACATCTGTGGCCTACCTTGACGAGCGGAACCTTGAGCCCTGGCACGACCCTTCTGGGAAGAACCCACCCAGGACTCCCGGAGAACCAACAAGTCGGACATCGGATGGCAGCTGGTTGAAGCCGTCTGCATATACTGCTCGACTGCAGAGTCCGTAAACAGTAAAAGACAAAAGGGCGAAGATAAACTAAGAGCCAGGGCCCGCCCAAGCAGATTCCAAGGAAGAAGCAAGCACAACCTGTTGACACGCGAGATGCGCAGCGAAAAACTGTGACAGCGCATCCCGCAAGATCGGCACAAACGGCTTCAAAAGCGCAGATGACACACGAGCAGCTGAGACCAAGGCACCAGACCCAGGAATGGCCTCAAGTGCCTCAACATCTTCCACAAGCCAATCCAAAGACAGCTCCAGGGGGGAAAGGGAAAGGAAATGCAGGATCGAAGCCAGCAAGTCACGAGCGTGAGTCCTCAGCCACAAGCGCAGCCGACAAGGAAGGAACCTGCACATGAAGCTGAAGCGCGCCAACATCCTGCAGAAGGGCCGGAGCGAAAATACACTCATTAAGGTGCTCCAAGTCAACCCTCCCCAGGTAAACCTGGGGCCAGATTCACGAAAGCACTTAGGCAAGCACTTACGAAGGTGTACACCTTTCCTCAATCTTTGACGGCTTTGGTTACATTTATTAAACAGTTTACAAGCATGAAAACTTGCCAAATCAACTGTTGTTATTGTTATAAACAGCCTCCTGGTGCTTCGGAGCTCATTAACTGTTTAATAATTGTAAACAAAGCCGCCAAAGATTGAGAAAAGATGTACAGGTTCGTAAGTGCTTGCGTAAGTGCTTTCGTGAATCTGGCCCCAGGACCACAGTCAATGCCTCGTGACACTCAAGCATGCGGGTACGACAAAGTGCCCCAAGCATTCAATGACAACAACGGGCAGTCTGCCAGCCAGGACAAATCCGGAACCTCATAACGAACCCAGTATGGAGACGAAGATCCAAACCTGAAAGAAAACGAATCCAATATAAAGGCATACTCCGGGTCGCGCAGAAGATAAGCTGCAAGGGCCGCCCGCACCTAGGTAGGAGAGATGAAGGAGGCCAAAACCTCTGGAAGGACGGAACCGAAGGATCCACAGGGACATGGAACCGAACTAGGGGAGAAGCCAAACCCAAATCCAACTCGTATGCAGAAGGGGGAAAGGAAAACCCCAATCTATGTAACAGTAAGCCCCGCTCTGAAGGTCGGAAAGCCCAGGCAGGGTCCAATGAGGCCCAAGGCAGCTCCTCCCCAATCCCGGGAGTTGGCAAAAAACAATGAGCATCGTCCTGAGACAAGGGGCAGAGCAACCCTCAAACTCGCACAAAGCAAGAGGGGACCCAGGGGTCGCATCCATCAGACCCGAGTGCCCCGGTGGGGTTTCCCAGGGCCCCTAGACTGCCTCTATTAAGGGTAACCCCAGGCAGGGTACTGCTAACCGGCGCCCAATGCTACCAAACAAACCGCTAATGCTGAACCCCTGGGACGTGTCCACTCATGAGGGCAAAGCAGGGGATGGGGTACCACCAAACCGAAAGTCAAACCCTAATATAACAGGGGAAGGGACACCAAGGCAGACCCCACCCACCCCCCACCCCCACCAGGCAAAAAGAAAAAGTAAAAGTAAAACCTCGGAAGAGGACAGCGAACCCAGAAGGAACAGAGCCGGCCACTATTATAGGTAAAAACTAGCTGTGCAGTACCCCACACCCTTACTAGTTCAAAACTACCACTTACCCCAACATAGACAAGGGTGGAAACCCCCCAAAACCCTCAGGGCGGTCAATCGCCGAGCAGCAGAAGACCAACAGAGGTAGACCTAAGGTGACTTGTGGAAAAGAACCCTAAGCCCCAAGGGCAGTCCTTACAGGGCACTCAGGGAAGGTGACCCTAAGTACATGCAGCCTGAGTACTTGTGAATATTACTCCCAGCTTGCACGCCACCGTAAGAGCAGTATTGAACCAAAGGACAGCACAACACAAGAGTCTGGAGCTGGAGCCATACGACCATGTCGTTCTCATCAGCTGAAGAACTGGGGTGTGGATTGCCGGCGCGGGGGTCTGGGGCTTCCCCCTTCTTCCTCCTCCCGGGGAGGGGGAAGCTGTGCAGAACATGCAGCGTGGCTCGTGTGACTTCATGCTTGCTTGTTTGTTTTCATTTGGGAAGTTCTGTCCACTCGTTTGTTTATTTCCGTTGTTTTTAACCTGAATAGGGGTTTGTTTTGGGGCGCTTACCTTTCTGGGTGCCTGACCTGGTCGATGGCAGATATAGAATGTTCCAAATCACATGTGCATTTCTGTAGGCCATTGCTCCTCGTGCCTCTCTGAGGGGGCCAGGTTCTGGCTCGTTGGTACCCGGTAGGACTAGAACTCCACCCACATCGACTGATGCCAAATTCTAAAGAGATACATATCAGCCTGGATAACTCTGGTGAGCCAAAGGGGCTCCCCCCAGAAAACAGATGCATGTAGTACAGTCCAGGAAAAATAAGACAAAACATGGCCTGAGGACATAGGGGAAAGATGGACAGAGTGTATGAACTAAGATACAAGGACAAGATGACCATGACAAAAATCGGGCATCAAACACCAGGTTAAGAATGATGGAAAAGGATGCAGATGCACAATTTACAGTAACCAAGTAACACTCCATTCCCTTTTTCCTCAGCCTGGTCACCAAAGAAATGTAGAAGCTCATCAGAGTTACAACGAATAAAGATTTTGAAATAAAAACCTACCAATGTCAATATCTGAAATAGCCAGAAAGCTAGAATACCCAGACCATTCAAAGAAATACTGTACTAAGTTTCAAAAGAGCATACAACAGATTGAGCTCTCAATTGAACGTCAACACTCCTAAGGTAAGAGTAACAGACACCAGGATGAGAAAGCAAAGCTACAGAGATACAACCCATAATGAAGCATTTCAATACTCTCATTGATTTATTTTAGGTTTATAGCCTTCAGCTTACTCACCATGGCATCCCAATTAGGAACTAGCTATGTAAAGATAAAAGCATTAAACAAGGACTTAAAAGAAAAGAAAACCCAAGCTGGTGATCTTTTTGCAGCCTGTAAATAGCATTGAAATAAAATAACGGACCAGAAATAATAATGTCCTGGATTTCACCCTCAGTCAAAAAGTTGAAAGAGGGTGAAATAGACACCAGGCATTTCTCTGAGAGGAGCCCCTGACAAAAGGCAGAGAATTCATTATTGATATGAAATGACAAAGGCATTTGCTGTTTGACAAGATGATACTGTCTGCCAAAAACTAAGTATTCATGTATTTGACAAACAGCATGCTAGTCACTAATGTGATGACTTCCTGAAACATGGGGAGGATAAGATTTCTAACACCTTGTCCTACAATAATGGCTCCTGAAAATATGGTCAAAGATGAAACAGCTCAAGGAAAACAGGACATGTTAAATCCAGACAAAACTTAAAAGAAGAGGCTTTTCCTAAATTGAACTATACAAGACAAGTACATATTGTCTTGTATAGTTCAATATGAACTATACAAGTATTAAGTATGAGATGGCAATCCTGAAACAACTGAGAAATCAGCCTATCCTCTCGAGCATTGACATCACTAAACTGATGTACTAAATTGCCCTAACCTAACCTAGGACCCAGTAATAGAAAACAGGACATCATGTCAATTTTGCAACCCCGCTATGATTTTAGTACATCAATTTTTGGCATTCAGGGATTTAAATGTCAAAATGCAATGCAATGAACTATCACAGAAGACGGGTTGCAGAAACACTATCACTATGCAGATTGCTAGAAGAAAACTGATGCAGAGATAAACTGATGAAAATACAACAATGGTACTTCATACTGCACAGTATTTGTCCAGTCAGTAGAATGTGATAGTCAATGCAACAGGGAGGTTTTAGTTCATTGTTAACAGATTAAATCTATACAAATTACAGATAATAATTAGGTCCCTTAAATCCTGCTATGAGAGAGAGATTCTCAGTAGAGTTCAGAAAACCACTGATCTAAGACTTTACCCATTCAACAGGATTTATCACTAAAAAATTTATAACAATAGCAAAACTTACTGAATATTATAATTTTATACAAGTAATAACTTTCGATATTGGAGAAACAATATAATTGGTGATATTTATGTAATTTCAGAATATATTGGAATTAAAATAAATATATATTTATGGGAATATGAAATTAAATATTTATCAAGCTTTTCACAGTACCTCTTGTCTTCTTTGCTTTGGAAACCCTGACTGCTGGTGTAGTCCGTTCAATGAGTCTGATGGCACCTTGGTCTCTCTGCTCAGAGTCTCCACAGCCTGGTACCACTTTATTTTGCTTTTCACTCTCAGCCAAATCTTGCAATCGACCATTAATCTCCACACGACTCATACAGCCTGCACAGTGTATGCAAGTGTAAGTGTTTTGGTGTATGAAAATTATTTTAATAGTTTTAGATACATATAATGATAATTATTATTAAAAAGAATACAGAAGAACATGGTACATTGGTTACTCATTTGTTACATTAAGGTGCACTTTTAATAAAGCCACTAGTATTAAAGCTCTCAATTAGAATTAAGTTTTAATCCGAGTGTTTGTTTTTCTCCTACACCTTGCCCGAAATGCTGTGCATATTTGTGGATTTAGGCATTGTATGTACTAGCTCTATCTATAAATCCAACATTATGACCTGCCCGAAACACTGCGCATGCTAGTGGCTTTAAAAGAATGTAATTACTATGCTATGTATCCTCACAATCCCAATGTACCTTCTTGTATATATATAAATAAATAAATAAATAATGTTTGTAACTCACCTTGTATGCATATACTTTTACCTGAATAAACATTTGATTTGATTTGATTAGTATTCAAAGTATTTTGGGCATGTGTTTTAACCTCCAATGCATTTTATATATCTAGAGAGCTGATGTTTTTAAATGTAAAGTAAATTGGGGACACCTAAAGAAAGGTGACAAATATTAGTACTGTACAGTGGTACCTCGGAATACGAGTGTCTCAGAATACGAGTTTTTCGGAATACGAGAAAATGCGCCTCGGAAGGCGAGTTTGTTGATACGCGTACAGGCCGACCTAGCGCGTGGTGGTACGGCGATCGTCGCCCCTCACCCCTCAGTTTACCAGTGCCTCGCGCCCAGTGACTATCCCACGTCAATTCTTCACCCGGATTTTCAGTGTTTTGTTGGATTTTTGGTCATTTGACCATAAAAGTTGTTATTATATATCTCGCCATGGGTCCCAAGAAAGCCAGTGGTAAGGTTCAACCTAAGAAAATAGTGCGGTGTTTCGAGCGATCGAGTGGCAACACTGAAAAGTGTATACTCTTTTCACTGTCCTGACATTAATTTTCGATGTACGTATTTCATTTTTGTACCAATGTGTTCGCAATAGAATGTTCTAGAAGAACATAAGTATAAAATGTCACACAAGGATGCGTTAGACCGGCACCAAATAAAAAACTATGTCGATTACACTTGTCATGTCAAGAATACAATGGTCTTACCTCGATGGTGCAATGCTATGCCGTTCTCCCAAATAGGCTACGCGGCTATTAGAGAAAACGGAAATTTCATGGCGGACATTTTCAAACTATCCCAAAGTCTATCGCATAATAAATAGAGTTTATAGAAATATTTTTCTCGTGACTTGTGAGCGAGTCTGCTGTGCGACCTCAACACAAAAAGTGGTAACGCTCTCGAGCGCCGTGATAACGCTAAAATGTTAAGAAAATGTGCGAAGTATGGGAAGAATTGCAAAGTTTTGTTATTTATTTATTTATTTATTTATTTACAATGGAGCCTCGACTTACGATGCTAATCCGTTTCCAGAGATGGATCGTAAGACGAAGCGATTTTTCCCATAAGAAGGGAAGATTAATTCTCAATCGTATATCATTATCAATCACGATTATCATATCATTATATAATACGATTATCAATCGTATATCATTCTCAATCTCAATCAATCTCAATCGACTTGAGAATGGTCCAGGACGGACCGAAACGTCGTCGTCCCTTCAACTTCTAGTGTGTGGTCTGGTCAACTTCCCATAAGAAATAAAGGGATTTGAATTAATCCGTTCCCCACCCTCCAAAATATTAACATACAAATACATTTTATACTGAATACAATGTTTTTTTCTAACTACAATACAGTACCTAACTTTATCTTACCTTTATGGAGGGCTCTTGATGGCATATGGAAGATGGTGATGAGGGGAGAGGAGGAGAGTTGTTACTGTTTGGATGGGGAGTCCTCTTCCATTATCACATCAGGCAGTGATGTTTTCTCTGGGGTACTCTCTCTCCTACATTTTGCCTGAATACCACTAGGACCTGGTTATGGTTCAGTGCTTGTTTGTCTCACTACAAATTTGTCAAGACACATTTGTTTTTCCCTTCGTTTTAACATTTGTCCGTAATGATGCATCACTTTAGCACCCATAATGTCCTTTTTCTTAGCCAGTATGGTGGATATTGTTAACTGAGATTTGTTGTACTGCCTAGCCAGTCCAACAACCCACACACCATCTTCATATTTACGAATGATCTCTTGTTTCTGCTCTATGGTCATCCTTACATGGGATCTCATACGTTGAGCCTTACCACCGACTTTCCTGGGACTCATGGCGTGATATATAATAATTACTTTAATGTTCAAAATGCAAAAAATCACCACAAAAGCGAAATTTCTTATAGGCGCGATCGTCACTAAGCGTGCAGCTGTAGTAAACTGAGGCAGGTTGGCCGTGTGACCGGGAACCATGCGCTCAGTCGACCCGAACGTGTACCAACAAATATCGTAAGTCGAGGACACCATCGGATGTCGAGTCACATTTTTCGATGAAATTTACATCGTAACTCAAAATTATCATAAGTAGGGGCAATCGTTAGTCGAGGTGTCACTGTATATATATATAAGAAGGTACATTGGGATTGTGAGGATACATAGCATAGTAATAACATTCTTGTAAAGCCATTAGTACGCACAGCGTTTCGGCCAGGTCTTTAATCTAAGAAACTTATAAGTAGGTAAATACTTGCATAATTTACAAAAATGATAACAGTTACATAGCATGACAAAAAATTAAAAGATGAGAGAAAAATTGTAGGTATATTAAAGCACATAGGTAGCTCAGAATGATTGCAATGACAGCTTGAATGGTAGTTTAACAAAACTTAGTAGGCACAATACAGCATATGGCTAGCACATAAAAGAAGACAGCAATGAACACAATGATAAAGTTGTTTGGATTAAGTACATAAAGATTGGGAGATTGGGTAACACTAGATACAGAGCAAATTTAAAGCTCAGTGTAGGAAACTACGAAGATGAAATTAGGTACTTTTTGTTTTTGTTTTTAAATGAGGCAAAAGTTTGACAGCTTTTCAATTCACTAGGAAATTCACTATTGAAAAAACTCACCCAGACAAAGCTGTAACAGGCCGTTGCATTGACCTTTTAAATGACAATGTGATGTCTTACTACAGACAAATGTTAAAATGTAGGGAAAAAGAAGTGTCTTTAGACAGATTATTAGTAAGACAAGCAAGTCTTAGTGGTATGCAGGCAAAACGTGCCAGAGTGTGCACACCAGTGAAGTCCTCACTGCCTGATGTTATAATAGAAGAGGACTCCCCTTCCAAACAGTAAACACCTCTTCTCCTCCCTCCTCCTCACCATCTTCCATACGCCAACAGCAAGGTAAGTAATAACTTGAACATAGTTTTGTAGGTTTATTTAGATGAATTAGGTATAAAATTTAGTTTGAAATGAGGTTTTTGGGTAGTCAGGAATGGATTAATTCATTTCCCATTATTTCTTATGGGGAAATTAGCTTCGGATTACGAGTTTTCGGAATACGAGCTATCTCCAGGAACAGATTAAACTCTTAAACCGAGGTACCACTGTACTGCAATGGTAATGTCTTCTCACAGACGTAATAACATAGGATAAAAACCCACACTTATATATTTGTGAAATTTATATATAGAATTTACACCAAGTTTTTTGCACTCTCTCGAGTGCTTTGTCAAGGTCTGAGTGTGTGATTAGGATGAGACTTACATCTCAACATCTAATGAGGCTGCTATCCTGAGTCCAATCCTCTTATCCATTTTGACCTCCTGACCATGTCACCTTTATTCCCGATTGATGTACCTGAGATAACGTCTTCTACAGAAATATGGTCATGTGTCCTTTCTGTAATCCTTCTATTCTGGGAACTGGAGTTGTTATTATCCCCTGGACTGCGCTGGCCAACAATACTAGTTTCAGGAAATGCACAGGCTGAGAAAACATGAATTTAAGGGGGCATTGGTTGGAAAATTTAAGTTGTTCAATGTCAACCAAAATATTTTGACTAGTTGTATATGAAATGGGCTGCAATTGTTCCAAGTTTCAGTACTGCAGCCTAAATAGAAAGGGAGATTTTTATTTTTTTTTTATTTTTTTCAACGAATATTACACATTTTCAAGTGTTTATAAACAACCACACCTTTCAGATATAATCATTCTATGAGACTTTTCTGTCACATTAGCAAATAATAAAGGATCTGGGGCCAGATATTTTCCAAAACATCTTTAGTTTTCCTAATGCAAATAGTCAAAGTTCCCTCAAATATTTATGTAAATATATCATGTTTATTGCTATTATAAAATCAATAAATGGATTTAGGAAGCAAAGCTTGCCCCAGATTTTAGAGACAAGCATTCTACATATAAGGTGTAAGTTTCATGTAAATTGAATAAAAAATGAACAAGTTATAAGAATTTTTGTGTTACTTGAAAATAAATAAGAAAATAATAAAGTCTAAGGTGCTGCCATCTGTGACTGAGGTTGACATTAACCAATTTCCTCCAAAATTGGCACCCTTACAGATGGGCTTACGTGCAATCAAAAAAAAAAAAATAATTGAAAAAGATAAAAAACCAGCGTTGAATGTAATGAAACGCCATTTTCTGGGCGAGCCCCGGAGGCTCCCTGGAGCTTATTGGGCTAATGTATGTTATATTAGACTGGGACATTAGTTAAGGAGTTCAGACCTACCAGGGACCAGCGCTAGAACTTGGCCCCTTCAGAGAGGTTTCAGGGAGCAATGGCCCTGGAAAACCCCTTTGTGGTTGGGGTTTTCCTTATCTGCCATCGACCGGGTTAGGCACCCAGAAAGGTAGGCATAACAAAACAAACCCCACATGGTAAAAAACTAAAACAAAAAACCGAACAGAGAGGTAGAAACTCCCTACAATCACAAGGAAACAAGTAAACAAGCAAACATCACACTTTACTGCCGCGCCGATCGTCCGCGCAGCCCTCCCCGCCTCGAGAGGGGGAGGGGGGAGCCCCGGACCTACCGCGCCGGTTGCCAAGCTTCAGTTTGGAAGCTAAGCTTCAACCAATGCGAAAAAACCGCCGACCGGTGGGAGGGAGGGTTGCCAGGAAGCCTCCGGGGCTCACCCAGAAAATGGCGTTTCATTACATTCAACACTGGTTTTCTGTGGGGAGCCCCTACGGCTCCCTGGATCTTCATACCCAAAGAGAAGGAAAAGAAAGGGCCAACCCGGGAGGCGGCCGCCACAAACTCTGCAACGCGAAGCCAAGACAACAGGTTGCAACCTGTGACCCAAGGCAACAAGAACGCACAGGAGCAGACGTGCATAAAGAATGGGCGGCCAAGAACCTGTGCGACCCTCAAATCCCTGCGCCCGAAATGAGCATTAGACGTCCCGAACACAGCAGCAATGCCACAAATGTCTGAACAGCACAGGCGCAAAGACAGACCGCAGGCTGGAAGAATGAAAAACTCTGCAGACGACCTGGGAGACCCGAGCCCTGAAAACAGGGAATGAGGGGAACCGGATCAACTACAGCGCATCTCCAGACACGGTACGCAGGCAACGGCAAAAAGCACAACCGGACAACACAGGACGCACCCCTGACCAAACCAATCAAGCATCAATAACCCAAGAACCCCTCCGGAAAGCAGCCGTCTCGACCATCGTCAGGATGGAGAAAGGCTGCACATGTACAAATCTACCACCAGTACCAAAGAGCAGAAACCTGAACCGAAGTGGCTACCACAAACTGAGGAAAAGATAAGGCACCCTGATCAAGGACCAGGACGGCTCAGGCGACGCATGAGCAGGCCGGAGGTGAAACAAAACACGAGAAAGCGTACGAAACGTCATACTCTCGCCAAGATGAAGCTCGCAGGTGGGACACCGTCAACAAAGCCACCTGAACACCACAGAGATGGTGATACCCGCGTCAAAATACCAGACGCGAAGAGCCAAGGAGAAGGCCGAACCAATCACGTACAGGACCGATTTGACCTGCCGAAAGAGGCGGAGCCGCGGGAAAACGCCCTGGGTTCGGACACCTATTAAGCAGCGTCTGAAAATAAGGCTGGGCCGGCCATCAAGGAACCATAAGGACTGCTTTCGTGGGAATGGGCTGCAACCGAGCCAGAACCCGAAGCAACAGCTGGATCGGGAGAAGAGGAACAGATTGCCCCACCTCGACTAGTCCTGCCGAAAAGCATCCACCGTGAATGCCTCGCAGGTGGGTAAGGGCGCCACATAGAATGGGCGACGCCTAGACCACGCCGACTCGAAGACGTCCACGGCCAGGAGTCCATACGTCCGACAGAGCCAACAAAACGAGTCGGCGACGACTGGCCAATCTGCGAACAGAGGAATGAACCGAGACAGCTGTCCGCCAGGACGCAGGACACACCCCGGACATGAACCTCACGGTTAGCCAAACCCCGAGAATCCAGCAAACGAGCCACTACGGAACCAACCCCAAAGGTCAACACCTAAGAGAAACCCTGTGGTTCTGGCAAGAACCGCCAGAGAACAGTCTGAACAGAGCTGAATGGTAGAGCACTGAGTGACCCAAGCCCTCCGAAGTGGAAACCAGACCCCCTGGACCTCACCGTGCCAGCTGCCTAGCTTCACCCGGGCCGAAGGTGTCACCGATCCCACAGGCAGCTGACGGAGGCAAAACAGTGAGTGTCACCCTGAGACAAGGGGACAGAGTAACCCTCAAACTCGCACAAAGCGAGGGGGGCAGGGACTCCGGGCCCACGCTCCCCCTAGGGGTTTCCCAGGGTTCTGAGTGTTTACTATAAGAGAACTCATGCTCAGGTAATCCCAGGCAGGGTACTGCTAACCGGCGCCCATGTGTATCAAACAACCTTCTAAGAACTAAACCCCGGGATGTGTACTCTCACGGGGACCTAGCAGGGAAAACCGCCGGAAGAAGGAAAAGAATCCAGTACAAAGGGGGCAAGAACCAAAGGCAGACCCCCACCAGGTAGACAAACAAAAAGGAAAAAGAAAACCCCTGCAAGAGGACAACGTACCAAGGCAGAACAGAGCCAGCCGCTATGATTGTTGAAAGTAAGCTGCGCAGTACCCTGCGCCCCTACCAGTGCAAACTGCCCCTTATCCTAAGGCAAACACGGAAGACAGAACCCCCCATCACACAAAGGGCGGCCGAAAACCAAAAAGTAGACGGCCTAGCAGAAGCAGGACTCAAGGAACTCGTGTAAGGTAACCCCAAGCTCCAAGGGCAGTACTTACAGGGCACCTAGGGAAGGCAACCCTAGGCACATGCAGCCCGAATACTGGAGACTCACTCCCAGCTCACACACCACCTAGAAGACAGACACCACACTCTAGGCAGAGCGCTGAAACAACCACTGGAGCCGGAGCACACAACCAGTGCCTTTAGCATCAGCCGAAGAACTGATGGGTGGATAGCCGGCATGAGAGATCTGGGGCTCCCTCAGACCTCTTAATGGGAGCTTCACAGACAGAAGTGCGGTGACTTGTGATGTCATACTTGTTTGCTTGTTTTCTGTTGGGGAGTTCTATCCACTAGTTCGGCTTTTGGTAGCAATTTTACCAGAATAGGGGTTTGTTTTGAGATGCTTACCTTTCTGGATGTTTGACCCAGTCGATGGCAGACATAGAATGCTTCCAACCACACGGGGGTTTCTATAGGCCATTGCTTCCCTTGCCTCTCCGAGGGGGCCAGGTTCTGGCCGTGGTCCCCAGTAGGCCCCTAAGAACTCCATACACATGACTGATGCCAAAGTCTGACATTAGCATATCAGCCTGGTATAGCTCTGGGGAGCCGATGGGGCTCCCCCCAGAAAAAGTGAGTTATCAAATATTCAAATCAACACAGCAAAATTATATGTAATAATCAAAAGGCCAGTATAAGGTTTATTGGCTCTATAGGTAATGTGAGTCATTCCTTTACTGTATTAAGATTTAAGTTATTCACACCACAATGATGGGAAATGTTCTGTATTACCTCTAAAACTTGTAGAATTCCTGAGGTGCCAGTGAGTTTGAGCATGTCTGGCCACATCTGCAGGAACACCACCCAGGAATATTGGGGTATCTACTTCCAGATACTCTTGCTCTCCATCATTGACCATGGAACGTGCAATGCCACCATCAACACGAAGGGTGAAATTTTGACGTTCAGAAAGTAACTCGACTGTGTGTTCAGATTCATCACTAACAAGTTCATAGCTGTGAATAAGAATTTTCTTATTAAAAGCAAGCCTGTAAGTTCAAAAGCAAGTAACTTCAAGTAAATACTGATTACAGTAATTATTTTTCTGAAAGCATGGTTTATAATTAAGTTTACAGTGGAACTTTAATGGTCTGAAAAGAATTAATTAGAAAACTTGGGTAAACTGGATCAGCAGGTTTGGATTACCAATGCTGTCTCAATAAATTGGACTTTCTTGGCAAAAATTCAAATTGTTTAAGCTGTCTCACAAAATTTCTCATTGCCACTTCAAGCTTATTTTCTTTCTTGACAGTGTGAATAACCACACATTCAAAATAAGCATTTCAGTTTGATCTTATGCTTGACCTGTATGCTTGTGGGAACAGCCATATCTTGCCATTTACTTCCATATTTTATGGGGCAACAAAAGTGGCATGAGGCTTCCCCCTCCCAAGCTGTGCATCTCGCACCTAATGAATCAAACCATTTTTTCTGTAACCCTTGTTTACTGTTCTCCACTTTTCTCCTATTTGCATCATTAACATAGTATTTCTACCATTTTTACAACTTTTCTACCTTTTCCATCATCCACAGAAATAGTGTCTAACAGGATATTGTGCACAATATCCTGTTGGACACTAAAGTAAGAATTTTTCAAACACTGTAAAATATTAAAAACTAAATTTAAGATAATTTTACACTCTAAACTTATTTCTTTGGGATATTCTGTGCTAATTAGCAGAATATAATAGAGGACTTTCTCCAAGACTGTGTATATGTATATATTTGGTCAAAATCCAAAAATTCCCCAAAATAAACACTAACAATGTTACACATCAGCTTAGAGGATATTTACTGGCAGTTACAGGACATAAGTTATCCTTCAAATTGTCTTATCATCATACTTTAATGTTAAAATTTACTAATATTAAACTCACAGCTCTAATGGCAAGATATAAATTTTTATGTGGCTATAACACCTGTTCACCCCAGCCACAACTCTTTTTTTTATAAATACAAGTAATTAACAAGTACATCTTCTAAATCTAGATAACACAGTGCTGCATATAATTACAGTGGTATCTTGGTGTATGACTGCCCCAGAGTACAAATTTTTTGGTATACGTCATCAAATTCATCGTAAAATTTTAATTGATGTACGACATTTTACTTGGACTACGATGTCTGTTGATACGCGTATGGGGTCGAGTGAGCGCATGGTGCTGGGCGCAGGGCAAGCCACACTCAGTTGTTTACCAGTGTATCCTGTCTAGTGACAACCGTGCTTGAATTCTTTGTAAAGAATTTGTAAAGAATTTCATTCTTTTACTGCTTTTCTTTTTCTGCTTTTAAGTTCTTATTATATATCATGCTATGGGTCCCAAGATGGATGGTGAGGGGACTGGATGGATGGATGGAAGGGGGAACTAGATAGATAGAGGGGAGTGAATGGATGGATGGAAGGGGGGAACTGGATGGATGGAGAGAGGGTGGATGGATGGTGGAGGGTGACTGGATGGATGGTGAAGGGACAGGATGGATTGATGGACTGGATGGAGGGACTGGATGGATGGTGAGGGGACATGATGGATTGATGGACTGGATGGATGGAGAGACAGGATGGATGGATGGTGAGAGGACTGGATGAATGGATTGTGGTGGAACTGGATGGATGGATACTGAATTATCTGACCTATCCATCCATATGGATGGATAGGGGGTGGATGGATGGATGGTGGAGGGGGACTGGACGGATGATGGAGGGGGACTGGATGGATAATGGAGGGGGACTGGGTGGATGTTGAGGGGAATGGATGGATGGTGGGAGGGGACTGGATGGATGGTGAGGGGAATGGATGGATAGTGGGAGGGGACTGGATGGATGGATAGATGGTGCACCGTACCATCCCCGCTACCATCATACCCCCATCCCGCCACTGGACCCTCCCCACTACCTTCATCCCCCACACAGCACCCTCTCTGCTACCCCATACCGCCACTGGACCCTCCTGCTACTTCTATCTCCCACACCGGACCTTCCCCCACCTCAGCCACATCTGGACGGTATTAATACAGATGGCTTCCTTGCTACCAGCTGGTGGATCAGGAGGCAGACTGCCTGACATTAATCTCTTGTTGTTTACTGACTGTGAAAGCCTGATTGACTGTAAATGGCAGAATGACTGTAAATGCCTGGCTGACTGTATATGCCTAACTGGTTGCTACCACAACTGTGAATGCTTGGCTGCCTTTGGTTATGACTGCCTGTGACTGGTCTTGACTGAATGATTGACTGACTTGTGACTAAGTGACTGGTTCTGACTGGCTGCCACATAAGAGAGGCAGTGAAATGTTTGAAAGGATAATCTGGAACCAGTGATGCAGATACGAAAACGTTTAAGGCGAGCAAGGGACGGTCTCACCACCTCCCCCTCCTCCTCACCCTACCCATACACCAACACCACTCCTCCCTCCCTGTCTCCCATACACCAACAAGAGTCCTCAGTAAAGGTAAAGTGAAGTTAAATGTTCACTTATTTTATTTATGGTTTATATTTATACCTGATTGTTTTGCGTATGAAAAATATGAGTAGTCCAGTATTCTCTATAAAATGTATTTTTAAGTTAATATTTTTGGGGATGTGGAATGGATTAATTCAATTTACATTATTTCTTATGGGAAAATTTGTTTTGGTTTACAAATTTTTGGTGTACAACGCATCTCTGGGAACGGCTTAGGATCATAAACGAAGGTACCACTGTATAAGGATCGTGTGTTATGCTGTTATTATGACTTTCTCCTGTGTAAATAATGTACAACAGCCATTTATGAATAGTTTTGAATTTGAGTATACAGGGGGTAAAATAATATTGTATTTACCTAAACATGGTTGAAGCTGGGTGATTGCCCACATCATAGCTGATTCGAAGGCGACCTTTAAATACTTCCACAGCTAAATGTTGTCTGTCTTTACCAATGTAGACCAGGACGCCATTGGCTGTGCGAGTGGTGAAGCTGATGGTGACATTAATAGATGGTTTGACTGGAGGTGTTGTAAGTTGCACAAAACTACTTTTGTCAATAAAGTTCAGAGCTGTCATATGTTGGCAGTATTTACCTGTAATGGTCAGAAATAAGATGTCTTTAGTAAATGACATTAACATTTCAGTGGAAGTACTTTACATATTTGAATTCAACAGACCTGTTATATAGACATTGAAAGACTTTTACTCCATGCATTTTTTATTTGCTATCAGAAAAGATTTGAAAGTACTGTACAGTACATATAGAGTGCAACTTTCAATATAATTGTGTAGCCCATGCTAGCTCAGAGTAAACAGCATCACATTTTTTGTGTGAACTTGTGAAGCATAAGTGATGAAAGATAAAACTAATATAAGTGTTCGAGTGGTTTTGCAATACAGTATCATGAAATTTGTGGAAAACTTCAACTGACAGTGGAAAGGTGTTAAGATAATTTATTAAATTTTTTATATATAATTAGAAAAGATAAACTTTGTTAACAAATATAAAGGTCAGGTCTGTGCATGTGCAAAAGTAAAAATGTGTTATCGCTATAATTTTGTAATCTGAATCTGTGATCAGTGGCTTTGTCCTTGAATAAGTCAACTTACTACTTGCCACCATCTGCACATTCAGTGCAATTTCTTGGAAAAAATATAGTTTAGCGAGCTAAAATATCAGACACTTATTAATGATAAAAGAAGAACTTACCACTTAAAATGGAGTCAGGCTGTGCACCTGATTCATAATTAAAGATGGAAAAGTTGGTCATTATAAACTAATACAAAAGAATGCTACAAATGACAATCATTCCTTAATATCCAACATCATACAGTTTAGAGCTTTCACACACACACACTGAGGATATATACAAAAATCAAATGGTAACACCGTCAGGTCTGATTCGAAAAAACAATGTAGGAAAATTTCAGTGTCATTCAAAACCACAAAGCAGGATAAATAGTCCAGCTTTTGAGTTGAAAAGAGTATATTAATAGTACACTTCTATAACTCACTGAAGATTCTAGGCTTTGTTTAACCCTTAGACCGCACAATACATATATAGATGATGGGAGTAACTTTACTGGAATCACGCAATACATACATAGATGATTTAAGCTTTAGCGCACGATTTTAAATGCCCCGCGAGGGATAGGGGTAGCTATAGTTCAGCCACAACCCATAGTTACCAGATGCCACCTAGAAAAAAAATTATGGACAACATTCCCAGGTGTGAGAGCCTCAGTACTGAGTGAGCCACCAAGGCTGGGCCACACAATATGAGCTCACAGCACCGCTGTTCAGCTTGTGACCACTACATCGCCTAAAAATGTCAATATATTTATGTACATACTATTATTTAGCAATGATAGTATTACAGAAGACCCCAGACTGTGATAAAACTGACCAGGATTCTGATAATAGCAGGATTGTAGTGATATTTAGCGCTGTGCTCTATGGTGGGAGGAATAATGCTGAGGGAGGGAAAGAGGTGGCATTATCTTCTGACTGTGTGTGTGGCCACCTTTTATTGACTGGAATTACCATACCAGCCTAGTGGTTTGCTATGGTGAACACAAATGTAGATACTGATATATAATGTGTGTATAGAGTGTAATGACAGCAATAGGATTATGTTGGGAGCCACCATTTTGGTGAGGGAGGTGCATCGTCTGCATGACTTGTTAAGTTGTTTACTGGTGGCCACTATGGTCTTTGGGCACCATACCAGCTTATTTGTACAGGTATGGTCAATAAAACATGTAGATACTAATATATAATGTGTGTATATAGTGTAATAACAACACAAACAGTATTGTTGGAGGAGAAATATTAGTGCATCTGGCCTTGAACCAGTGATGGCAGAATGTTGGCGAATGAGGAGATGAGGAAGGGAGTGGTGGCGAGTGGCTGGCTGGCTGGTGAGCGGTGCCCACTCTTCGTTGCATTTTGACTCACAATACCAACTTAGTGGTTCATTATGGTGAACAAAACATGCAGATACTATATATAACTTGTATATATGGTGTAATAAGAGCAAAACTATTTGTTTATTGTTTTATGAACATAATAATTGAATCACTAATGCACACCATAATTTTGAGTACAGTGATGGTTCACACATTTTATTATATAAATATATCACAATACACACTACTGAATAATATTACTGAAAAAAAAGAAAAAAACAATCAGAGACAGAAATAATTAGGTAATAATATCTTTGTGGCAACCCCTGCCTGACAGCTCGGGCGAAGCAGACCTCATTTGGTGACTGCTCTGTCAACGCCTCTTTTCTGTGGGGGAGCCCCTACGGCTCCCTGGAGCTTATCGGGCTAATGTATGTTATATTAGACCGGGACATTAGCTAAGGAGTTCAGACCTACCAGGGACCAGCGCCAGAACCTGATCCCTTCAGAGAGGTTTCAGGGAGCAATGGCCCTGGAAAACCCCCTTGTGGTTGGGGTTTTCTTTATCTACCATTGACCGGCGTTAGGCACCCAGAAAGGTAGGCGTAACAAAACAAACCCCACATAGTAAAAAACTAAAACAGAAAACCAAACAGAGAGGTAGAAACTCCCTACAATCCCAAGGAAACAAGCAAACAAGCAAACATCACATTTTACTGCTGCGCCGATCGTCCACGCAGCCCTCTCCGCCCCGAGAGGGGGAGGGGGAGCCCCGGACCTCACCGCGCCGGCTGCCTAATATCAGTTCGTAAGCTAATGTCAACCGGGACAGACGCTTCTCTGGCCTGTTTCCTGGGCGGTGCTTGCCTTTCATGGCGTTCACTGCCGTGTGTTGTGTTGTGTGGTGGCCAGGTGTTCCTCATCAGTACCGGGGGCTGCATGCGCTTAGGGGCTTCCTTCCCTAAGCGCCCTGTGAGTACTGCCCCTGCGTGACAGGGTTATCTTCCCTGGGGCATTCGGGAACCATTCCCGTAGAGGTTCTTGCTGCTCAGCTTTTGTCTCACCCTTGAGGCCAGCTGGGGCTTGGGGCCCTTGTTTGGCCTTGGGTAGGGACTGGTATTGTGCTGGTTAGAGCGTCAAGGTGTTGCGCGACCTGCCACCTAAGCGGCGACCGGTTCCTGTTGCCTCTGGGGATGGTGTACTTTTGCGGGGTTTGTCTTTTGTTTTTATTTTCATTTGCCTGGTGGGGGTCTGCCTAATGTGGCTATAGTTCCACTGGTAGTGTTTGGTGGCCCTCTGCTAGGCCCCTGTGATTGTACATGTCCCAGGGGTTTTCAGTGTTGTCCTCTACCTCTTGTTAGTTTTGGGTTTTAACCAGTTAGCAACACCTTGCCCGGACTTCCCATAGTTGTTACCCTACAGGCCCTGGAAAACACTGTCGGGGCTCAGTGGACCATTGAATGTGTCTTCCGGGTTCCAACCCATCTTGTGCAGGTTCGTTGGTTGCTGTGCCCTTGTCTCCGAGTGACAGTCTCCACTTTTACCTCTGTCATGTTGCCTGTTGGGTCACTGACACCTTGACCCGGAGTCTTGCGAGAGGTATTCTCTGCTTGTTCTCCAGTACTCTCCTGATGTTATTACTGTTCAGAGTACAGGCGGCTTCCATGTTGCATGCTAGGTTAGATTGCTGTAACGAGCTAGGTTGGTTTCCCACTCGGATGCCCCGGGGCCGCCCCGTTTTGGTTAGGTGCTGTTCGCCCCTTTCCCTCCCTGTTCCCGGCTCTGGACCATCTGTGGGTTTCGGGGACGGGGCGGAGTTTAGTTGGGGCCGAGACTCGGGCGGTTTCGGGGGCTGCCCGGTTCGAGTTGGGAACGGGGGTTTTCGAGCCTGTTCCTCCTGCTAAGGCTTCTGGGTCAAACCAGCGGCCCTTTCTTGCTGCCTTTCCCATGGACTCTTCCTTTTCTTTAAGGGCGAAGGGCGTGGAGGACGGCTCTGCCCTGGGGCCTCTGTTGCGGGTTCCCAGGGCTGTGGGGGGATACCTGCTAGCAGTTCTGGGGCTGTTTGCCCCTGCCTGGGTTTTCTGCTTCTGGGCGGAGTTTTTCGCCCATCTAGTCTGCTTGCTTCCCACTTTTGCTGGCGTGTTTTCGTATCTTTTGCGTCTGTGACGGCCCCCTGTTCTGGTGGCCATTTTCTTCTGCTAGTTTCCTGGCATGGCCACCAGGGCCGTGCGGCGGTTTGTTTATATGCACCTGGGTGTGCCAGCGAGTGTCTTGGGTGAGTTTTGTCACCTCTTTCAGGGGTTTTATTCTCCTGTTGTCGTTTCTTTGCTTTTCTGGTGTTTTCTGCCCGTCTTCTGTTCCTCTGGGAACGAACGTTTGTTGGTTTTTACACCAGGTTTTCCGTTTTCTATCGGTTTTGGGTCTGGGCCCTAGAGTTTGGGCTCAGTGTCCCTGTCTGTTTAAGCTTGCTCCCACACCTTGTCCCTCGGTTTTCGGTCTGTTTTGGCCGTTTCTCTGTTTTTTTTTCTGGGAGCTGTGCTTTGCCTTTCTGTGGTGTATTTCCACCGGCAAATGTGGTGGTTTGGGCTCACCCGGGTTCGATTCCGGGTTCCTTTGGGTTCTTTGGTTTCGTTCCGGAGGTTTCTTCCTCTTGGGCCCCCTTTGTGGGTTCAGGGGGCTTTGTTTCCTCATGTGTGACCCGGTTCTGCCTTCTGGGGTTCTGGGGTCTTCCTGACTTGCAGGCTGATCTTTTTGAGTCTTGGCACATGTTGTGGTCATGCCGGGGCTTTGGGTTTCATTGTCGAGGTGGGCCTTTTGATGCAGTTTTGTGCTTTCTTTGTGCCTTCTTCGCCTGGCCGGCGTGGTGTACACTTATGTGTGTGTGTATGTGCATACGCATGTGTGTGTAATACCCCTTGTGTGTGTTTGTATTTATATATATATACTTTTTTTTTCGGAAGGGGCTCCGTTCCCTTCGCTGTTGACGGGGCGTTGAGGAAGCCGCTTCCTCTGTTGACTCTCGCTTGGTCCCGCAGTTAGTGGGTATTTTTGGTTGTCTTCCGGCCTCTGGTGGCAGCGGACGACTTCTGCCCCTTTGAGGGGTTCGGGGCTGGCGGGGTGGGCTTCTTCCCCTGCGCTTCGTCATGTCATCTTAGTGGGTGCATTGGACGTGGTCGATCCGCCC